GTTGCAGAGGCGTGTCAACCAAGACAGCCCCACAACATCTAGAGACTTAAGGTACTCAGGGTGGATCTCATCCACTCCCGGTGCTTTGCCACCGAGAAGCTTCTTAACTACCTTGGTGACTTCAGCTTGGGTGACGGACGGGTCCACGTCTGAGCCCCCGGCCTCTGCTTCCTCATCGGAAGACATGACACTGGGGTTGAGCAGATCCTCAAAGTAAGAGGTGAGTCCGACTATATCTAGCCAGTACCTCTTAACCTACTGCACAAGCTCTAACGACAAGATAATGATAATTCAGTACAGAACCGAGGCAGCCACCTGCCGCACCAGCTCACACACAGACACCGATGGTGGCGCTGTCCTCGCAAGGCGCTGCTCTGGCCATCGGGGGCAACTTAGGGTTCAGTGTATTGCCCAAGGACACTTCAACACATGGACTGTGGAGAACAGGAATCGAACCGCCAACCTTCCAGCTGGGGGATGACCGCTCTACCTCCTGAGCCCCATAAAACATTGTTATAAAATGACCTGTGAACACCAGAACTTTCCCAATTTTGGACATATGGGCTGTGTCTGTCTAAATGTCATCATGACTCCACATGGAAAACAATTTCTGGAGGAATTGAAAAATTGTTGTCACTGTGACTAGGGCTGCAGCTATCAGGTATTTTAGTAGTCAAGTAGTCTGTATCCAGAATGTCTATTCTGGGTATCAAAATGACTATGGGAAAATCAGTGTACACAATGTCAAAAATCTGTGAGTACTGGTTTATGAAAATATGTAAATGTTCCCACCCCTAGTAGTGATTTATTCACAGATTTAAAACAAACATCTGTTTGTAAAGGTGAATTTTGTGTAAAGTGTCATCATGTGTCTCCCCAGGTTGCTGCAGGAGGAGCTGGAAGCTGATGTTTCTCTGTATACTGGCTCAGGCTCGCTCCGAGCACACAGAGCCTTACTGTTGGCCAGAGCCCCTCATGTCCTTCAGGGACAGATGCACAAAGATCCCTCCATCATTCATGTGCCAGGCTATGAGTTGTCCAGGCTGAAAGATTTCCTCAGGTAGGCAGCAGATTCAAGTTAGTGCCGATTTTGTTTTTACAGCTTATTCTTTGTTTTTGGAGTTTTGACAACTTCTCTTGCCCATTCAGTAGTTTCACACAAAGCCTGAACTCTGCTGCCTGTCTGCTTTCTAGTAGGGGACATTCAGGAACACCATTTCTTTTTGATTTGATTTGATTTGATTTGATTTATTTATTCTTTCAAACATGTAACAACAGTCAGTATGTAATCACACATTCCAGACATAATTCCAGACATGTCCACAAAAATATTTTCAATTTGCTTAATTTTCCCTCTTACAGTTTCAGCCTCTCTCTGACAGAGGGCGCCAAGCACACACTCTTTAATCTACCGGTTTGCCAGTGTTTGTGTGTTTCAGTGGTCTTCACAGATTTGCTAAATAATACATTGCACATCACAGTTTTATGTTAGTGTAGACAAACACAGAATTCAGCTTGTGTGAGGATCATCTCACTTTCAGTGTAGCAATTGTGTAGTTTCCATCAAGGCTTTGCAGTGGAATGCACAAGTCTTCCACTCATTTGTCTGTGTCTCTTTGCAATTTATAATTAGGACCAGAAGAACACATCATCTTAATTTGGCGAACATGCACTCAGAAACTTTATTTTCAGACTCATTTTACACATAGAAACTGCAACATTGTTGGGTTTAGTATTCCAAACAAGGTAGGGGGTTTTGGTTTTTATAGGAATCCAGTAAAAGAACAGATCCACGTTGAACTTTTTATTGCTGAACTTCACTGTTTTGGATAGGTAAGACTTTTTTTATTGTTACTCTCAGCATAAATGGTCATGTGCACATCCAGCAAATATCAGTGGGACAGGCGGTGGGGGCCGACACATCTGTAAACCTTAGTACAAAAAGTAACTGCACACTAAAGTCACAGCTGTCTTTTATTAGTGATATTTTGGCCATTTTCAAACTTGGCAAAGTAAAGGAACGTAGCTAATGAAATTAGCGTGTAGTTACGTGGTATTGTATTTTTTGTATTGCAGTTGCTGCTGCACTGCTGGGGAACAGCTACAAGTTGACCCCACAGAAAATGAGTGACACCAAGGATCAGTCACTGTAATAATCTATATTAGATTAAGACTGTTCAAAATTAGAGTGACATAAAAGTGTGATAGTGAATGTTAACCCAATGTGTGAGCACAAATTTAATTAGTGAATCTAATGCTGCAATCAGAGTTGTACGGCGGTACTTTTACACCTGGCTACTGTGCCACTGAAGTTACAATGCATGAAATTAAACTGTAATATAAATAGATATGAAAAGCCTAGTTTTAATTAACCTTTAGAGTCTCCCTCCTGAAGGCAGGTGTACACAGCAGACCAGAGCACGCGCTCATCTGAGATAATTCCAGATGTGGAGACCTCTGTGCCCGAAAGAACCCTGTCTGTGCCTAACCCTGCACACCTTCAGAGCTCCACTGAGTCAGGTAAACAGATCAATATACTTTTCAATGTAGGCTTAATTTTAGGTCCTGTGACTGTTCAGCTGCCCTCCCCCTCTCCTTTCTTCACTTCATGCTGTCTCAGCCAATATCCAGTTAAGAGCTAATTGCTTTGGATCCCTGTTGTCGTTACTGCTAATTGTAGCATGTCCTTGCTATGGATCATTCAAGATTTAGCTCTGCTTTAGCAACAATTTTTTAGTATATTTAGTTGAGTGTTTTAATGCCTAAATCTGCTTTTGCCCACAAATACCCATACATATAGCTTTGACAGATGAATGTACACTTAAAGCTCTTCATTACTCTCTCTTTTCTGTCCTTCCTCATTGTTATCTCAACTTCTGTGCACATGCAGTTGTTCTTGAGCCAGCGTCGGGGCTTGGAGCTGACCTGCTGGACCTGTATCAAAGAGGGGAGCAGTGTGACATCACCATCCAAGTAGGAGAGCAGGTTTTCTCCTGCCACAGGTAGAGTTGTTTATGGGGTGTATCACACACTTCTCTATCAATACATTGGGAATTCAGTATCTCTGTCTTTTTTTTTTTTGTTCTCTTATGTCATGACAGGTGGCATGCATGGTGAGAAAATGTTCACTTAGTACATCACAGCCACGTTTAGCCGATGTGAAGCACTACAGAGGTCACACATCTGCTGTTGACTCATGCCAGTGTGCAGCAGTGGGTGGTCATTTACAGATGTAGAAGTAGCAGCAGCAGCTGGTAACCATGGAGACAGGTTGCTCCAAGCTTGTGTTCAGGAGAGCAACCAAGCAGTGAAAGCTCATTAGAAAGAGAAACTAGGTTATTTTTTGGTCACTATGCCACAGCAATCTTTATAGCACAGTGTTAGCGGCTGCAGTTCTCACTCAGAGGCTCTTCAAAGCTCCTGCATACCCATCCTTTTACTTTACTGTATTTGTCCGTTTTTGATGTGGCCAGAGGTGGATAAAGTGTAGTTTTTAGCAAACATTATTCCAACAAGAGTTTGTGCATTTGTTATTAACTGTTTTCAGCTGAAGACTGATGCACAGTGGGCCTGTTAGTGATTATTTGTGACAGTAGTGTGTCTAACAGTGTGTGTGATTGAGTCAAACTAAGCAACAGTGTGTGTTCTTAGTATTCAAGGAACATTTCAGCCAGTGCCATGGTGTGGCCCACTGATGTGTTTTTGGACAATAATACAATGCTAATTAACAGAAGAATAAGATCTATTAGGCTTTGAGTAAACACAGAAAATACAGTACTTGTTAGTAGGAGAAAGTCACTTTTGGTTTTGTTGACAGTAAGAAAAATATAGATCATCTGCAGACTTGTCCTTTAATGCAGCTAATTATGTGCTCTCAACACTGCAGTGGCAGGGTATTTCCATATTAGTGACAGGGAGAATAAGCACAGTCTCCAGAGACTACAGAACACACAGTATAATATTTTGTCTTTCTGCTGAGCCTCTTAAGTACACACAGGTCTGCCAGATGACACGAATGGTTGGTGGATCTGGTACTTAACTCTCTGCTTTATTGGGTTTCTAGGGCAATATTGTGTGCACGATCTCAGTACTTCAGAGCCATGCTGAGTGGGAGTTGGATGGAGAGCTCCAGACAGTGCATCACTCTGCAAGGGTAAGACTGGTGTATTAGCATTATCTAGCAGCTGATCACAGGGGTCAGTAATACACATCCACCTCTGATCTAACAAGTCTGCATTTCATTCCTGAAAATACACCTGAGTTACTGCATATACTGTATTCATTATTCATGCCCTGTAACAGAGGTGGTCTCACTCACACACCCATAGACACCACTTCCAGTGGAATCTTGTATGGCTCGTTTGGTTTGCCATCAAGCAGGGTTGCTGTGTTTCCTCTGTGAGGCACATAAATGTCACTACCTGCTGAAAAGTCGCCCCTCCCCCCATCTCCCCTCTTGACAACCACCCACATTTTCCTTTTAGAGCAGCAGAGGCAAATGAAGCCCAGTTTTTTTCTCTGGGGAGAGATGTGTTACTCGCCTTAGTATTACTGATCTGAGGGTAACTGGGGAAGACATGGCTGTCACAGTGGAGAGCGGCTACGCTGACATGCGGGAGAAAACCTGTGAAATGGCCCTTATGCTGCACTCACATGGACCGCGTGCTGCCTGATAGTAGATTTAGTTTACAGCAATCTTGTTTGCAGCCCTTATAGAAAATTATGCAGTAGAGTGAAAAATAAATCTACATCGTTTGTGCTTGGACTCACACAGAGAGTATTATAGGATTGGGGACAAGTCTGTATATTAACCTGTGAAATGTGGCTAGTAAACAGGTTGTTGTGTTAACACTTTCAGCTTGGGGCCAGAGGAGATGGAGATCTTGCTCCAGTTCATGTATGGAGCCATAGTGGATCTGCCCTCTGGAGCCAGTGCCAGGTGCTCTATGTGAACAAACAGCGTACTCAAAATAACACAAGCCCAGAAGTCAAGCTGACCTGTGTTTGGTGTCTCCTGTCCCACAGCCAGGTGGTGTTGGCAGCAGACATGTTGGGTTTGGAGGGACTGAAAGATGTGGTGGAGATGGTTCTGACCCGAGACTACTGCCGCTTCTTCCCCAGGGTGAGCGATACAGACCAGAAGCTAGTGAATACCTTGTAGGATGGTTTCCCTAGGTTTCATTACTTTTCACCATGTACTGTAGCTTCAAATGTGTAGCTTTTCATGCATGTTGACTTTAGGACAGCAGTAAATATGTAGTTATTTTCAATACCCACACTTAACTCAGGATTGTTTTCTAAAATCTGGAAATTGATACACAACATCTTTCACTTTTTATTGTATATATTGTTTTGATACACATGGCAAAGGAAAGGTGTACAAGATAGTAGTGAGACCAGCTATGGTGTATGGGTTAGAGACTGTAGCAGTGAGGAAAAGACAAGAGGCAGAGATGGAGGTAGCAGAGATGAGGATGTTGAGGTTCTCTTTAGGAGTGACCAGGATGGACAGGACTAGGAATGAGCACATCAGAGGGACAGCTCAGGTCGGCTGTTTTGGGGACAAGGTCAGAGAGGCCAGATTGAGATGGTTTGTAAATGTGCAGAGGGGGGGTAGTGGTTATATTGGTAGAAGGATGTTGGAGATGGAGCTGCCAGGCAAGAGGTCAAGAGGAAGGCCAAAGAGGAGATATATGGATGTGCTAAAAGAGGACATGAAGTTAACTGGGGTGAGAGTAGAGGATGCTGAGGATAGAGTTAGGTGGAAACAGATGATTCACTGTGGTGACCCCTAACGGGAACAGCTGAAAGAAGAAGAAGAGGTTTTGATACACATAGCTTACACTTTAAGTGTAAATGTTTAGGTTTACTAAGTAAAGGTGCTGTGCTTTTCACTGAGTTTGTTGCCACGGTCTATCCTCAGATTTTCAGTCACTGCATGCAGCTCATTACACAGTCAGCTCCTGAACTGAAGCTGGCACAGTGCCTCAAGGAGCTCGTAGGAGATGTTGTGCAGTGTGATTGATGAGATCATTGACCTCATAAAATAAATAATAAGGTAGTGATTTGGATTCCAAAACATTTCGCTTGGCTGCATTCCACTGAAAAAGAAGTTACTAAAAATATTATGTCTAATATTATGATATTATAATCTTTATCATATATTGAATTGTACATTAGGCAGCATTAAGAGTGCTCCTTGGGAAACAAAACAGAAATGAAGAATGACACATATCAAAGAGAGAGAAACTGTACAAGCCACTGACACCGATAGAGAGAGTTGGACAGCAGGTCCAGCAGTTCAGAGTGGAGCAGGGGGAGATAGTGTTGATGTGGATATTAATACTGAGGTAAATGCAGCCATATAGACACTTCAGTGTTTATGGCGAACTCCCCATCCATTATTTGTTTGTGTTACAGTAATCAGATACTGGTTTGTAGTTACAGATCAGTAGTTAATGCATGTTGTTTTGCCCAACTCCTTTCTTGTTGTGGATCTTATAAATATATATTATGTCTCAAAGGCAGAGGATTTCACTGGCATAGCGCTTTGTTGCAGTTTACATCATTTGATTTGCATGGCCCTCTAAATGCATCTGTGATGACAAACTGCATCTCCAGCTTGCTGTGTCTGTTTGGGTCAGAAAGCATCACATCTGCAGGTGAATAAACTGCAGCAAAGCAAATGTTGTTAAATCCCCACTGTTATTAATATTTTGTTACTAGTGATTTAGCATTTTTAGTTGAGGAATATCTGCGCTGTTCATAGAGTTGAAAGCAACTGGGAGAGACTTACTGTAGCAGGATGAGGAGTTTCCTTTGATCGCAGCTGAAAACACCGAGAATGAATCCCTATGTTCCTTTTGCGTTACACTTGACTGATTTTGCTTTGCCTGCATGCCAAGTGTCCTTAATGGTGTTGTTTCATCCATCTGAAAGCGTTTCCCTTCATTAACATCTTATAGTGCCTTGTGCTGGGTAGTACATAACTTTCCAAGTTGCTGTGTTTCATCACTTCCTCAGAGAATGACTGAGTAATTATGTGAATCTAAACACACCTTTTACATTTTTTGTGTGCAGAGAACCCTATCAATTGTCTGGGTGGTAATAATAAGAATACATTTTATTCGAGATCACCTTTGAACAATACCCAAGGTTGTTTTACAGGAATATATAAATGCAGCATAAAATCAAAAAGTAAAAAAGTACAGTACACTAATAACAAAATTAGTTGAATAAAATCCGAAAAAATATAAACAATCGGATAAGTCAAATAACTCCACAATCACACATGTAAACAAAGATTGGATAATACACCAGTGGGCAAATCAAACATTAAAAGCACATTGAAAACGAAAAAAAGGGCTGCTTTATGGTCAGAAATGGGTAGTTCAACAATAGACAAAGTATTAGGAATCTACCAGAACAAACAGACAAGATCCAAAACATGACTGTTAGCTAGTAACATTGATCCAGGAAAAACAATCTAGAATTACAGAAGAATCCTTGGTAAACACAGAATCAGTTTCATCAAAATGAATACTAAAATCTTCCAACATTATTGTTAGGAGATAGTTCATTCAAAATTGATACATCACTTTTCCATGCTACTGTATTCCATCACTCCCTCAGAGGATCACTGAGTAACTGTGTGAATATAAACACACCTTTTGCTTTTTTCCTTTTGTGTTTGCAGCCAGTTGATGGGGTTCAGAGAACAGTTCTCGAGTGCCTGTCCCTCACACACACCTTAGGCCTTCAAAACCTCCACATGCTGTGTAAGAGGTTATACTGTAACTGAAGATACAGGTAAGGTGGATTGTATACTGGTGTTTCTATTTTTTAAAAAGGAACAAGCTTTGTTTCGGCATAAGGAACCAATTTGAATTTTTAATTTCTGAGCAAGCCTTAAATTTGTGGGAAAATCTACTAACATTTTCCTAAGTATTTATAATGCTGGACTGTATCAGTTACAGTGGGCATGTAAAGTTTTCAGACCTTTTCAAGTTTTTCACATTTTGTTTCAGATTCATCTTAAAATGGATTCAGTTCTTTTTTTCCCCCATCAATCTGCACACAGTACTTCACAGTGATAAAGTGAAAACAGGTTTTTGGAGTCTTTTATTAATTTATTAAACATAAAAGACTGAAATATCCCATTTAATATAAATATTCAGACCCTTTGTTATGACACTTGCAACTGAACACCGGTGCATCCTGCTCCTATCAGTAGTCCTTAAAACGCTTCTACATCTTGATTGGAGTCCACCTGTGCCTAATTTGATGTATTGGACATAATCAGGAAGGACCACACCTGACTATATGAGGTCTCACAGCTGATGGTGTATGTCAGAGTGAAAACAAAGCCATGTGGTTGGCAGAACTGTCCACAGACCTGTGAGACGGGATTGTGTTGAGACACAGATCTGGGGAAGGTTACAAGAAAGTGCCCAAGAGCACAATAGCCCCCATCATTCTGAAATGGAAGAGATATGGAACCACCGTCTTCATAGATCTGACCGTCCAGCCAAACTGAATAATCAGGGACAAAGGGCTTTGGTCAGACAGGTAACCAGAACCCAAGGGCCACTGTGAATGAGATTCAGAGCTCCTTTCTGGAGATGAGAGAATCTTACAGAAGGACAACCATCAGCGCAGCACTGTACCAGTCTGGCCTCTGTGGTGGAGTCGCCAGATGGAAGCCATTCCTCAGTAAAAGGCACATGACAGATGATTTTGCCAAAAGTCACCTGAACCACTCAGAAGCAAAATCCTCTGGTCTGATGAAACAAACACTGAACTATTTGGCCTCAATTCCCAACAGCATGTGTGGAGAAAACCAGGCACTGGGCATCACCTCATTAATACCATCCCTTCAGTCAAGCACGGTGGTGGCAGCGTCATGCTGGAGGGATGGTTTTCTGGAACTGGGAGACTAGTCAGGATAGAGAGAAGGATAGATGCAGACAAATATAGAGCAATTCTGAATGAAAACCTTCTCCAAAGTGCTCAGGATCTCAGACTGGGGCAAGGGTTTACATTTCAACAAGACAAAGCATACCACCAAGAAAACACAGGAGTGGCTTTGTGAAAACTCTGGGACAGTCCTGGAGTGGCTATTCCTGTCACCTTTCTTGCAACTGTAATTTACGTCAGCATCTTGTTGCTAGGTAACACACACCTGGATTCATGTTTACACTGCTCTTCTGAGTAAAATGCCAGTAATGTTTACCACTAAATACACTTTTCACTTTTCTTGATTTTTATTTTTTATTTTTTTAATGAAAATGGCATTCCTCAGTGTTAAGGCATTTCTAAAGATTATTTGGTAAAATACATTTCATAGACACAATTCTATTACATTGTATTGCTCTGAAAAGCTTACGTGACTGCTGCTTGTCAGAATGTCTTTCTGGGCAACTTTAAGATAAGAAACCAGACAGACTGTTGTTACTTTTGTGCTGAAATTATTCAACTTGAGGAGAGTGCTGCCACGGTATTATGAGCACAACGAATGGCAGAAGAGCATCGTCACTTGCTTGTGCTGCATGATGGATGGGCTAAACAACTGATATGTCAATTTGTGAACTCATCCTTCAGTGGAATTAGTCTAGTGAAATTAGATTATGATCCAGGACTGACTTTTGGAGCATTATGTCTTTCTTTCTTTCTTATGTTCTCTAATATGTAAACTTCAGGCATGCTGCAGTGTTGTTTTTGGAGAGCAGTGGCTTCCTCCGTGGTGTCCTGTCATGAACACCATGCCTGTTCAATATTTTGCATACGGTTGACTCATGAACAGAGATGTTAACCATCTCCACTGAATCCTTCAAGTCTTTAGCTGTGACTCTAGGGTTCATTTTTACCTCACTGAGAATTCTGCGTTGTGCCTTTGGGGTGATCTTGGCTGGGTGCCCACTTCTATGGAGAGCAGCCACAGTACCAGATCGTCTCCATTTATAGACAGTATGTCTAACTGTGGCCTGATGAATATTGTCTAAAGTCTTTGAGATGACTCTGTAACTCTTCCCAGCTACATGCAAATCAACAACTCTTGATCGTACATCTTCTGAGACCCCTTTTTGTGAGGCCTGGCTCACATCAGCTGGTGCTGCTTGTGAATAGCACATTGACACTTGAGTGAAGTCAAGGTAGTTCTAAACCACACTTTTTGTGTCATTGATTGGACTCCAGGTTTGCTAACATCTGAGTCCAGTTGACATTTACGGACATCAGAAGCCTTGTGTTGCCATTACTTTTTACACCATTGCTTTGTATCTTTAATTGGTGTGTTTTATAAAGACATGAAAGATCATGACTGTGTTTTATAAGCATGTAAATATTGTGTTTGTTGATATTTGGGACTTTGCTGAAGATCAAAACACATTTCATGACCAATTTATGCAGGAAACTGGGAAATTGGAAACGGTGCCATTACTTTTTCTTGTAACTGTGTCCTAATTTTAGCTAATACTTTTCAAAATCAGATTAATAAAACTAAGTACAGTATAATCATAAATTATTGAACCCTGGTGAAAAATTCACAAGCTACTCAGCAATAATTTAAATTATAAGCACAAGATAGTTACAATGAACTCCACTATTACCACCAGCAACAGCAGTTTGAAACATTCTTTTTTATTTGTAATAGTTGTATTTACTTAATTAAGTTACATACATATTATGTAATATTAACATATGTATATATTATTTATCATAGTCATATATTTGAATTAGAGTTTTCCCTGATTCACACACACCCTCACACAAAGATGGCGGCAGCGGCTCAAGATGTAGAGTGGTTAGTCTTTTAACCGGAAGTTTGGCGAGTCAGTTCCTGGCTTCTCCAGTCCACATGTCAGAATGTCCTAGAATAAGACACTGAACCCTTAGTTGCTCCTGGTGATATCACCAGTGTGTGAGTGCTTGGGAGTGTAAATGAGTGAATGTGCAAAAAGTGTGAAAGTGCTTTGAGTGTGCTGCAATGCATAGAAAAGTGCTGTACAACTATATGACCATTTAACTGGAAACCTGTGTGCCAAAAACGTGGCTTTACATTTCAGTATTAGTATGTTGTGCAGCTTTCAGCAGTTTCCTTTATATTCATTCTGAATAAGCAACTCAGATTTTTTCACCTTCTGTTCTGCTGTAGCTGAAATGAATTAAAGGTGACTTTGCTTTTGAATTAGATATTTTTTTAATGGCCCAGAAACTGAGATGTCTGTCTGTAATGTGTACATTCAGGTGGGTTGCTGAACATTTTGTGAAGACATGGTGTGAGAGAAACTTTTCCCTCTTGTCCCCTGAGCTTCACAGAGCCTGTCTGACTGCTGTAACTGAAGCCATGGTGAGTTTCTCCCTCCCATCAGCCGCACTTTATTCATGTAATTTCACAAATATCATCAACCCATTCTCCAGTGTTTTTCCACAGGAAGGAAATTCATGTATGATCTAATCCAAGATGAACTTTATTAAATTCTCAGTTATTAAAGAGAGGCTAATTTAGGAAAATGATGTGGAGGTAGACAGATGGGCAGTGATCTAGCCTTGTAATTAATAACTGAGTCTGTCTTTCATCACTACAGAAGAGGTGGTGTACATTCTGTGAGTAAAGCAAGACAAATGTGATATTGTTCACTCTTGGCTCAGGTATTGCGGCTCAGAGCTCACCAAGAATTCATTTCAAAATATTACTGTTTGTTTTTAAGGCCATAAATGGCCTTGCTCCGCCATATACATTGGATCTTGTCTACGTCTATGTGCCACGCAGAACCCTGCACTCCTCAGAACACCTGTCCCTGGTTGTTCCTCGGGCTAGGTACAAAAAATGGGGAGAACGCTCTTTTGTCGTGTATGGCACCAGGCTTTGGAACTCCCTACCGCCAGAGCTTCAGGCCGAAACTGAGCTGGCAGCTTTTAAGTCAACTCCGAAAACCCTTTTTAGACAGGCCTTTGGTATTTAGCTCATCTGAATCTTAACTCGTTTTTAACTCGTTTCCCTGTTGTTTTATGCTGTTTCTTATTCTGATAGGAATGTTTTTTTATTTTGGGGTTTTTAATACTTTGTAGTTTGTTTTGTATAGGTTTTTGTTTTAGTATTGTCTTGTATTAGTGTCCTTTTGTGAAGCACTTTGGGCTCCTGCCGAGTTGTAAAGTGCTATATAAATAAACTATTATTATTATTAAGAACTGTTACAAAATTTGGGGAATCCCTCCACTGATCACTAGTAGTGATAACAGTGTGATCCATGAAGGACTGTGTCTCTTTGGCTTTATTCTGTGTTCTCATAGAGAGATTGTCTAGCTGATAGATGTTTCCATTCAGACTGTGCAGAATGCAGTAACCATGCTCTGTGGCACTGAGCAGTTGATTGGCAGTCTCCCAGAAGTCAAGTGGGCCCAACAGGTGAGGAGTCTTGCAGCAGAATTACAGGAGGAGAGCCTACGCGTCACTATCCAGCACCTCCCTCAAGTCATCCGCACTCAAGCCTTCCATGACCTTTGCAGGGTAAGGCGCTGATATAGCCATGCTAATACATTCACATACCTACTCTGTCAGTGTAGGTTTCTATGATTTTCTCCGTGTCTGACTGTTACAGAGGGAAGAGTTTACCCGAGAACCCACATTGCTGAAGAAGCTGTGTTCAGCCATCAGGGAAGGTGCCACTGTGGACAACTGCTGTGATCTTTTTGCTGCTGTGAACTACCTGTGTGGAGATGATGTGGAAGAGGACTCTCTCCTGGAGCTGGGAGGGAAAAAACAACAGGAGGTGACATGAAGCAGATTCTTTTTAGTCACCTTTTGTCTTTGTCTCTTCAGTAGACATACTGTACCCATGTGACCGCACTTTATCCATGCAGTGCAGTTAAAAGCAAAATTTGTTATTTAGTCCACTTTATTGTGACTATTGACAATGCTGCAAATATTGAGGTACTGACCAAACAACTGTCTCATAAGGTGGTTCTTGGTCTGGCTCTCAAACCAAACTTCCTATTGTTTCTCAGATTAAGGGTCCTCAGAGAAACTAACTCTATTGACCAAGGAAAGACTATGGTATTCTGTAGAATGTTTTGAAAGTAGACATTAACTTATGACTGTTTTCTGTCCTCCTGTTTTTATTTAAGACGGTCTTTTTTCAGTAATGCTCATATGCAAGTATTTATTTGTTAGCACTATTAATATTTTCGATCTTCCTGTCAGTCACTGGAGTGTTTCTGATTCACTCAAACTGTCTAGTTAATAAGTTAGCTTTCATGCCATATAACTGGGTTAGGTTTTACTCTTTGGTCTGGACTTGGGGCTCAGACATGGCTTTGACATTTTCTTAGTAAAGTTTGCTGTCTGCCAGCTTACCTCCTCCTTTCAACTAGTTACTTGGAAATCTTTACTAACAGCCACTGAGTACTTTTATTTGCTTTGTTGCTAGTATTGTCACAGTACTGGAATTTCTAACTTCGATACAATACTTTGAAAAATATCAATATTTGATCGAATTTTTGATACCATGGGGAAGAATTTACACCTGCTAGAGTGTGTAAAATTTTACATTTAATTTAAAAGTATAACAGGGTAAAAGAATGATGACAAGGTATGACTTTCTTTTCTTGGCTGGTAACAGAGAAAAGCAGAATGACTGTAGACCTAGGACAGAATCTCTACAGGGGACTGGGGACACGCCCCAGAGGTGGAAAGTAACTAAGTACATTTACTCAACTATAGCACTTAAGTACAGTTTTGAGGTATCTGTACTTTGCTTGAGTATTTTCATTTTCTGCTACTTCATACTTCGAATTGACTACATTTCAGTTACTAGCTACTTTACTGAATGAGATTAATGAAACAAAATACAGTGTAATCATAAGACTTTGTTGATCCTTGGTGTAAAATTCACAAGCTACCCAGCAGTATGTACCTGATCGTTGCACCTGATGTTTGGGCAGAGACACACCAAGCTGATGCGAAAGAATTAAAAGCGATGTAGGCCAACTGCTGCGTCCCCTCACGTCAGCTTTGTCTGGGCCAGTCGGGTTGAAAAAGTGGCACTTGAACACACTGCACAGACTACAGCCAACCCTAACCTGTGTGACAGAAATAACTCCTCCTACCAGCAGGTGGTGGTATCTGTATTCGCCATTCAGAAAAGGAAAGAACTAGAATGAGTAAGTATAAGCTCTAGAGCCAATCAGACTGGTCTCTCTCTCTCTCTCTTTCTCTCTCTCTCTCTCTCACAGATGAGGTCCCACTTGTTGAATCGGCCAAAAATCCACCAATGGAGGCTAACTAGTGCCAATGTTGCAGGATGCACCGATACTGATACTGTGCATCCTTATTTGTTACTGTATCATCATTCTGAATGCAGTGTGGCATGTTTAATGAGAGGGACCTGGCTGGTGACAAGATGGCAGAGTGCAACCAAGATTTGCACACTGTCACCCTCAGCCAGACATTGTCAGTTTTTTCTGGAAGTTGGGTTATGTGTTAGGCTTAATGTTAACTCAGAGCCCTAACTATAACTGTAACCATGAACCCTTACCCCACCTGTGAACTTTACCATAAACCTGCTGAGGTGAACACCTTCAGCTAATATTGCCAGTTTCCTGTCAAGGTTGACAGTCTACCACCAGGTTCTCTTGCATTTACTTGGCTTTACAGACCCAAGCAAGGACCTTGTGATAAAGAGTTTGTCTGAAGCCACCAATGGACACAGGGCAGATTTTGGTGTTTTGCAGCCTGGGCTCCCAGCCAGGGTTTCATATGGGCCTGACATTGCTTAGCTTTGATATGAAAGGGTGGAATAGGGTTTCAGAAATTACTACATAACATGACACTGCTATAGTACAACTATAATAGTGTTGTTGAGTTAAGCAAATTATGATGTGTCTTTAGAAAAATCCGTTATCTACTGTGTAGATACAAAAATTGAGGGAATTTATGTTGACTTTATTAGTGTAGTTTATTTATTAGTATATCTCATCTAAGCTGTGCATCTAATAATCTTCTGAACTTTTCTAAATTGAACAAAACAATGCACAATGATACAAAACATGCACCTACATCCCTCCAAGTGTATTCAAAATTTGACCTGCAACACTTACAACTGTGCAGAACTAGAAGCTTATAGCAAGTAAAATTTTTAAATGCCAGATCACAGTGTCAGTGTGCATCACATCCCCAAATCCAAATTTCATTTTACAAATTTTAAAAGATGTGCTTTGTATTCATTTACAGTGAGGAACAGAAGTATTTGAACACCCTGCGATTTTGCAAGTTCTCCCACTTAGAAATCATGTAGGGGTCTGAAATTCACATTGTAGGTCCATTCCCACTCTGAGAGACAGAATTAAAAAAAAAATTCAGGAAATCACATTGTATTATTTTTAAAGAATTTATATATCTTGCACTGCTGAACATAAGTATTTGAACACCTGAGAAAATCAGTGTTAATATTTGGTACAGAAACCTTTGTTTGCAATTACAGAGGTCAAACGTTTCCTGTAGTTCTTGACCAGGTTTGCACACACTGCAACAGGGATTTTGGCCCACTCCTCCACACAGATCTCCTCTAGATCTGTCAGGTTTCGGGGCTGTCGCTGAGCAACGCTGAGTTTAAGCTCCCTCCAAAGATGTTCTATTGGATTGAGGTCTGGAGACTGG